TTTCCCAGCCCCCGCTCCACCATTGTGATTGGGGGGATGGGAGATCCTTATCTCTCAATGCCACCCCGTGGTTGCGGATCTGGTGTTGGGAGATAAGGGAAAATTAGCTTCCCAGCTTGTTCTCCACCCAGCTCCACACTTGGAAAGCTGAGCTGGGAACTGGTTCCCCATACTCTGCCCCATGTGCGGGGTGGGGGCTGGGGACTGTCCTTGTAAGGGGCAGGTCCCAGCCCCATGCCCCAATCGGGTGATCGAGGCAAGGGGCATGGAAAGAGCTGCAGGGAAGGGATAAGTCCCAGCCCCCTGCCCCAATCTGCCAGTTGGGCAGCTAGCAGTGAGCCAAGGGGCTGCCCCTCCCCTCCAGCTCTTTCCAAGTCCTAGGTCCCTGATCAGTAAGCTGGGACCAGGAGCTCCCTGCTGCCTGGCCAGGGGGACATTGTCCCCATCCTAGCAGTAGGCAGCCCCTGGAGGTGGGGTATAATGTTCTAGCCCCAGCCAGGACACAGCTGTCTCCTGGCCCAGTGCTCCTTCCAGCCCCTGGGCTAGCCTAGAGCTCCCCCTGGTGGCAGCAGGGGTGCACGTAGGGCTCCAGGAAGTGGGAGCAGTTTGCTGCTTGCAAGTAAACTGATCCCAAATCAAATGCATGTGTAGATGTGTCCAGGCACAATGACACTGGAGGACAAAGAACATTTTGACCATTTTAGGGCTCAACAACTTCCTTGTTTAACCTCTGTTATGCTCTTTATAACACCCCCTTCTCTTTCCTTTTCTTCCCTACCTGAGAAATGTTTACTACAGCCCCTTTTTCTCATTCACTCTACTTTCAGACCGCCTAACAACCTGGCTGATGTAGCTTTTTTTTATATAGGCCCTCATCGTCATCTCCTTTCCTGCTCCTATCAGTTAACTCAAACACATTTTTAGGCCTGCTCTACATTATATAGTTTTACCTTTAGAATTCGGGTTCTGCTAGCAAAGCTAAGTGCAAAGTTATGTGTGCATGTACTCTGCCAGCTACCCTGTGGTAGGAGCTTCTGTCTGCTGCAAGAATTTCTGATGGCAGAATCAGCCTGGTATAGACAAGGCCTTACCCACTCAGCCCTTCCTTCTCTTACTCACAGTGTACCTGTAACAACTCATATTCACTGGGCTGTCCCTTTCTAATGTGTGAAGGGAGATGCATAAATAAAAAAACAGGAAGTCAGAGCCAGAGGAGGACAGTGCTCATATATAAAACAGTTATTTAATCTGAAGTTCCTCCAAGTGATTGAGTGGCATGCTCAGCCTCTACAGGGACTTATAAAATTAGGCGCACACACACAGGCTAGGAAATGGCCTCCCTGTATACATCTCTGGCTGCAGTTGCACATGGCATGAAGCAATTTGAGAGCTGGGGCAGCATCACAATTGCATCCAACCTGGATTTATTACATAGGATTTGGGAAGAATAGACTATAGAAAAAATTACAGCCAAACCCCTTTTCATCTTTATACAAATAAAGACAGAACAAATTATCAGTAGGGCTTAGCTTAACTAGCCCCTGATGCCTAGCCACCATTAGAGTATCTTCTGTATGCAAGACAGCTGCTACCACATTCTGAGCAGAGCAAATCAGGGAAAGAAGAGGATTGGAAATCCTGCTATTGCAGTTACAGCAATTGTTAGTGATAAAAAGAGGATGTTAGCAGCTGCCAGGGGGAAAATGCAATTTTAGGGTGGTTGGCATAAACTGTTAATAATCCCTGATTTAACTCTAGCTACACAATCAAGTGAGAATGAGCTTTCACCATTAAGAAGGTTCTCATGAGGGAAGAGTTTCAACAGAAATCCTTTATTCAGCCAAGCTCACGATATCTTCTTAGACTTATTTTTTTCTTCTCATTTGTTTCCTAACTGAATTTTAGTGTAGCTGAAAGATGTGAAATGAATTATTATTTTTCTAACACAGCAGTACTAAAAGGCCCTTGCCAGGATTAGGACCCCATTTCACAGATGCAGAGTGGGAGGCTAACACTATGGCTAGGGACAGACATTACATATAAACCGGTTTAAGTGATCAGAAACTGGTTTAAACCCGTAACAGAACAGATGTTCAGTGCACATAAACCAATTTGAAAATGGATGAAACTGGTTTGAGATAAGCCCAGTTGAATGTAGTATCAGACTTAACTGATTTGGCTCAAACTGGTTTATGCAATGCCTGTCCCAGACCTCTTGATGCTTTAAGATAAAACAGACTCCTCCAGCATCCTGGCATGCTCTCTGGGCTGGGCAGGGCCCTTTGCCTCAGAACAGGGCTGGCCCCTCCCCTCTGCTCTCTGGCTGGAACTCTGGCAGAAACTGCAGGTATAGCAGTGTCTGCCCAGCTTCTCCCTGACCTTCCCTCTCCCCCCTTATTGCTGGACAAGCAGGGATCCCCCCTCCCTCCCTCCCTCCTATCTCCAACAGCACAGACCCTAGGCATGTGGTATGCTAGCTAATGCTGAGAGGTATCTGTGTGTGTCTCCAATTTCACTGGGACAGGCAGGCAGAACAGAAACTTTTGTTTTGCGGATGAGGTGATAAACACTGTTATCAGTAAGGATCCTGGTTTTCCATGATAAAAAAAAGCAAATTCTCTGATAACCCCCCCCCCAATCCATGATTAGAATTAAAGGCCCCCCACAGCCCTGTTGATACCCCTCACTTCCCCCCCACACTCTGCCTAGCCCTGCTCGTGCCCCCTGCCCCCACTCACAGCCCCAGCCACTTGTCCTGCTGGAGGAGGTCCTCAGCTGCCAGGGCTATGGGGCCAGGGACCCAGGTCCACAGCTCCCTGCCCTCAACAGAAGGCAGCTGCAGCTGGAGCACACAGCTGGCTCCCCCACTGCTGCCTACCTGCTGCTGACTTGGGCAGGGGCGGGCCTGGCTCCTGGCAACTGCGTGCACTCCCAGGGGGCAAGGGGAACCTGCGCCCCCAGATCTGTGCGGGAAGCAGGCTGCGGGCTTGAGCTCCTGCGCTGTTTCCCTCTCATGGGGCTGCTGTAGCCTTGCAGGCAAGACCTGGCATGACTGGGAACAGTGGAGCCGCCCTGGGATCTTCTTGCCACCCTGCTGCACCTCCTGCACCTGCTGCTACTTTGAGTGGCGGAGCCCCACACCACTTCCCTCAGTGCAGACCCAGGTGCAGGAGGTGCATTGCTGGGGCAGCGCAGAGAGAGTATCTGCTACGAGCTCCCTGCTCGGCTCCTCTGTCCCCAGCCTCATGGGGTCACGGGGAGGGGAGCAGGGCGGCAGGGATGTGAACACACAGCAGAACCTGGTAAAAAGAACAAATTAAATCAGGGTTTCAAGAGGAATAATATGATTACAAAGAATCCATAAATTCAAACAAAACAACTGAAATTACTGTTCAGCAGATTAAAGTCTGAATTTGAACTGAATGAGAGTTTGCCTTTATCAAGAGTTTTACTGAAACGACTAAAATTAGCTCCTTAAGAAATCTCTGGCTTGTAGCAAACAAAGTATACAAGGCGGTATATATTAATGGAATGGACTAGCAAAAGGGCAAAGTACCAACCTATCATCATGAAGAATCCCATGTAAAGGAAATGCTCCCAGAATACTAGTTCTATATTTTAAAAACTTAAAATTAGGGTCCACCAGTGCACTTAACTGACAATTAGTTACAGAATGTCAAATAAGCTTATCTATTATATAAATGTCATTATTATTTGTGCACTGCAGTAGACTTATACCTTCCTCCATAGGCTCATTAAGTATATAACTGTTTGTTTGAGAGGAGGCCTGCTCTATCTTTTTAAAAACACTCATAAGCACATGCTTCAATAGAGTGTTCAAGAGCTGTGTATAGACATTCGGGGACATCATGGGGAGATTAGATCACATTAAAATTGGCCATCCAATCTAACTGAGTTTGCCTAGGTGGGACCTTATGCTTAGATCCCTAGTTATATGGATATACGTTCAAACAGTATAGAAATTCCAGGAAGGTTAGACTGCTCTAAAAGGTCACCCTGATCTAAGTTAACCCTACCTCAGAGGTAGCCCAATTTATATTATTTCAAGTTGGTCATTTTTAGAACAATCTGACTTTCCTGATCTACTGTACAGTTCCCAGTACAGTCCTGGGGCTGGGAAAGCCAAGCCACTGGCTCCAGTCCTGGGGCTGAGCTTTTCCTACCCAGCCCCGCAGCATCAGGCTATTTTTAGCCTCCCCCTCTCCCTCCCACCCACCAAACTCCCCATCCCAGAAGCCGCTCCCAGTGCCACTTTTACCGGTGTGGAATAGAGGGGATTTGTTTGCTGGGAGGCTAATTGTTCATCTGGGGATGGGAGGGGGATTGGCAGGCTAAAAATAGCCCCTGGTCCCATGGGGAGGGGGAGAGAGCCCCCATCTACTCAAAGCCCCCTGTAGACCCCGCAAGGAGGAATTTTAGTTTGCTGTGCTCCAAGTCATTTAAATTGCATTATGCTGCCAAATTTGCTACAGCAGCTGTAGTTAATGCAGAATACGCCGCTGACACGTGCAAACACTGACACCGTTAAAGTGGTGCAAAAGCATTTAGCCCGTTTTAAAGTGTCATGCACACATGCCCCTCGTGTTGTCTACACACAGCCCTGAAAATTAGTTGGTGTGGTGCCTAACTCAGGTCTTAGGCCTTTTACTAAAGTCTGTCCCTTAATCTTTTGATACTTGAGACCCCACCTATAAAATGTAAATAATTTTTTTCCAACTCTTTGAATTAAATTCTGACCAGTGAAGTCAATGGGAATGTGTTATTGTATTGAAGGTGAACAGAATTTCACCCTTTTGTCAGTCTAGCTAATTTTAAGTCCTGAGCCTGCCAAGACCTATCCACCTACAGAACTGTACTGAGAAAGTACCACTGAAGTGAGTGGAGGCATCTACATGTTGCCATAATACAAATACATAACCATAATAAATAAAGGATACTAACTTCCTGAAACAAATGTAAATTAGAGACTTGAAACTTACCACAAAGTGGGATTCAATTCTAGCTGAAGATAAGAGTCAAAGTCCTCTCGTAGGATGATGCTGTCACTATGCATTTCAGCTTGAAAAGAAATAAAGCACTGTTGGAAACAATTGTAAGAAGAAGCCTAATGGTCTAGTTTGCTAGCTAACCACTTTGAGGAAACATGATGCCTTATTTAGAGCCAAAGTATTTTATAACTGCAAGGTAAAAGAAAAAATTCAGTAAAACAAATATCTGCTTAAAGTATACAAGTATTTAAGGCTGGTTTTTCTGAGGAAAGGTTGTAAGGCAGTAGTTTCAGTTTGTTTAGTTTGAATGTAAAGTTTGATAGGAGGTCTCACAGGATGTGAATTGTTTAAGCTACTCCTCCGAACTTCCCTGTCCTGACTCCTGTTTTTAAATCAAGAATTGGGAGAACACTTGCCCTGCAATGAGATGGACTAGATGACTTACCAGGAATTTTACATTCCTAATACCTGTGGGTCTAAATTTGACATTAGTCAGTTATGCATTAACAGAAATCTGATACGTTCACAGGAATTACTCCTGTTTCACAACAGTCTAAGCAATAACCAGTGAACTCAGAGTCAGGCTCCCTCTTGCATTCCCCCACTGCCCCCCACCTTGGCCCTATAACTTTTTAATTCCTTTTTACCTAGTAGCCCAGCTCTAATGAAAGGGGTAGAAGTCTTTTGGCCTGCATAGTCTATAGTCTGATGGATAAGCCACTTCCCTGGAAAATGAGAAATACAGCTTCAAACTCCACTGGGTGACAAGGATCTAGAATCTGGGTGAGTATCCTAGGGTGGGGTGACATGGGTAGCTGCCTCAGGCACGGGGTGGAGAGGGGGGCAGAAAACAATGGTTGCTGCTACAGTTGAACAACTACACTGGCGGCACAGCAGCAACCCAAAGTTGTCATTGTCCCAGTGTGTGACAGCTGCTCCAGGCACCCAGCTGTGCTGTTACACCTCTGCTCACCACTAGGCTATTAAACAAGAAATGGGTACATCCTTGATGTTGGCAAATCCACAGGACAAAGAAGGATTGCAAGAAGGCAGGGGCATGTAATCTGAAGCTCTGAGTTTACACCTCTCCCTCCGTGCTGATAGCCTGCCTAGGAGTGACTCCCTGCTCAGTGCTTTCATGTTCTTGAGGCACGTTAGGCTATCCACTGGGAGAATGGGAGCCAAGTCACCTTCCTGTCACACGGGTCATTTTTGGCCAAGCAGCTGTATATGTTTGGTACACAGAACAGGATCTAGAATGCAGTCTTTAGCTTGCATGGCTCATTTTTACTATAATATAGGGAATGCAAGCATGGTTGTTGACTGTATTTTGGTCATCTTTGGGTGCCTTCCTTAAGCACACCAACACAGTGATACAAGGCAAAATAAAATGAGAACAATGAACCAGGTATGACCATATCCAATATTACCTAAGCAGAGTGACATCTACATAGGCATGTAAGAACTATAAGCCAATAAGCAAATGGAAACTGCATAATCATGCTAAAAACAAACCAAACAGGCTAAACTTATCTCAATTCCTTTTAAGTAAATCTCATATTATTATTATGAATTTCCTAAAGCCACAGTTCCATACAGTGCCACCAAGCTTTACAGCTCATGTATAAAGAAGCTAATAATTTCAACATTATTAAAATAGCGGTAAACATTTTTTATCACATACCTAGATGAGGGTGCAAGGGAGCTTCTGTTGGAGCTGCAGAGAATAAAGAAACATATTGTGTGAATTTCTATTACATAACTTGTAATAAGGTATATGCTAGGAAGTGAATCATAAAGAAGTTTTATTCTAAGAATAGAATCTATATTAAAGAACATTATGAAAACAAACAGAATGGTGGCAGAAGAATTAATTAAAAGAAATGTCAATAATGTCAGTCATAAATTACTGTGAGAAGTGTTTTTTCATCAAGGAAAAAGATGATTTAAAACAGATTAAAAATTAATAGGAAAAGGAATGGCACAATCTATATTGGAGTCCTTATGTATACATTTGATATCAAATTCAATACAAAACTCATTATTATAATTTCTTTCCATGTTGAGCTTCCCACTCCCCTATTCAGTGAGGTGTGGAAATTTGTATTGGCAACATGAATGTCAACACTAGTGTCACAAGTTGGAAGTGGTGCCAGTCAAATAAAAAACTGTGGAGGGTTTTGCACCTCAGAGAGGCTGGGAAACAATCTGTGTTTTGGACAGACAGGTTAAGTGGAAATGCCAGTTTGAGTAACTTAAATGGTTAATCTTATTTTGTTTGTGTGAGATACATGTGTGTGCACTTATCTAGATATAGATAAATATACACATATAGAGATATATACATACATATGTTTGTATTTATATTTAAACATATATGTTGTAGTTTCACTCCAGTCTCAGAGTGAGTAACTATAGATGGCTAAAATAAATCAAGAACAACTGTGCTCAGCTCAAGCTGAACAATCTTACCTAGAAAGCACTTAAAAAATTGCCTTCTGAGCATAAAAGACTGACTTTCCTACTAGATAGGAACTGCCTAGAATAACCACATTATTCACCATATAGAAAAATTTTGTCATCTGGACTTTGTTAATGCTATAGTAGAAGAGAAGAAATATTTCTTTATCTGCTGTACAGCTCAAGCATAGCATTTACAATACTCTTTATGCTATAAATGGTCAGGCTCAGGACAGTCCTGCCATTCTCTTTTCCACTTCATCAGTTTCAGATCATCATTCAGTATCTATGAGAACACAGCTAGGGAAGAGGATAGTTAGGCCCCATTTTCAAAATAATCATGGGCAAAAGATGATGATAATGCCATGTTACTCCACTGACAGAATGGTCAGTTGGCTGAGCAAGATTTTTTTCCCAGCATCATTTGAATTTAAACACAGGTCATTAGCTAAGAAAGTGAACGAATAAAATAAACCGCATGTTTCAAAAAGGGAAAAAATCCGACTAGAAGGCATATAGGAGGCCAGATTCTCATTTGCTTTATGGCTCTTTTGCACTGCTCTGTGAATCACAATCCAGTATAAGAATCCATTATAAGAAGTCTAGAAAAAATACTGCTTTTTTAAAGAAACTATTGCTTTCTTAATTTACTGCAAATCTTCAGCAATTCAATGATTACTTCAATTATTGCACACTATGGAAAACACAAGCAAACAGCTGGTCCAGGGCTCACCTCTTCAAACCTTAAACACATGAGTTTCATTGATTTCACTGAAGCATTTTGTGAGAGTGAGGGATGTAGGACCACGTTCCTTGTCTGTTCATTACAACAGCTTTGTTTTTTAATTATATGTTCAGCACATTATAAAGAAAAACCTTGTTTTGATAACAAATTGGTTGCCTATCAAATGACATAGTAGGTAATTATGCATATTTATATTAGCACTACTAATCATTCATTTAACCAGTGACATGTGGATTGAGGCAAGCACTAAATGTAGAAGAAAAAGTTGTTCTTACAAGTAAAGATTTTACATTGAGAGAGACTGTATTTCCCAAATCTTAGCTTATCTGAAAAACCTAGGTAATTTTGCCTCAGGTACCGTTTCACCTAATTTGTAATTCAGATTCTTCAGCTGAATATGTCAAAGTGCTGTGAAGTTACCATTTAATGAGCAATGAACCTAGACTTTCATCTCTTCAGGAATAATTTCTTTATTACATTTTAAATTTTATTGCAATCCAGAACTTTTTTGACCTTCAAGTATTGTAATTAAAGTCCCAAAATGTTATAAATTTAAAGCATCACGCAAAATTGATTGTGGCAGTTTTCTTAGATATGTTCTCAAGTCTACCCTTCTTATCAATCCAAAGGACTATTTATTTTAAGGGATATAAGTTATACATAGTCCTGTACAGCACAGTTGAGAAACACATTAAGCTTCCTTGAATTATTTCACCAAATTTAACAAAATATTATACCTTGCAGAATAATATACCAGGAGGAGCATTAAAATTCACGCTCATTTAAAAAATCTATTCAAAAGTTGAGATTGTTGGGAGTGCATTTTAATGCTATCACTATTAACAATGTCTCTTCAGACAACACATTTGGATGATTTGAAATTTAGATAGGCCATTTGTGTGAACTAAAAATGCAGATAGTTTAGAGATGCCATTCTCTTTTTTTAAAGAAATGTACATGGAATTATTGTTTGTTATTTAAATAGCACTGTAGGTATACATAGTACTTCACAACAGATGAATTGTGCTTAGCGAAGAATGGCATCACTACCCAACAGAGTTTACAGTATAAAGGGCATGAGCAGATACAATACAGAATAATAGGAAAAGGAGGAAGCTTGGCATACAATGCATGGCAGTCTGTGCCAAATGTAAGGGGCAGCACAGAAAAAGGCACATGGTAAAAAGCAACTGAAGGAGAGAAAGGAAACAGGCATGCTGCTGGCACCATGAGTAACCAGAAAAGAGTAAGAAAGGGTGTACGACACAATCAGTCAAATTCATGAGAGGGCAGAATTATGGAGCTTTTTGAAAGAAAAGCTTGAATTTATGTGAACAATGAGTAGAAGCAAATGAAAAGAAACACGCAAGGGGAGGATATCGTAAGATTTAGGAGAAGGAACCAGGATTTGGTGATGACTTGGATGCCAGTGGAGAAGTAAGCTATGGGGAGTCAAAGATGAAACATATAAATTTAAAAAGTGTAGTAACGGATAACCAACTTTTGCTACATGAAAAGAGGCTCCACCATAAAACTAAGTTTCTAACACAACACCCACCACCGCTCGTTAAGACCTAGGGCACTTGAAAGAGATATCAACATACAGTCTCAGAGCCTGTTTGCAATGCAGGTAAACGATCCTTTCTAAATAACTGGCCTGGCATAAGAAGTCTCTCCTACTCCTCACTCAGAGAAGCAAAATTCTGAGAAAACAAATGGACTTTGGACTGGGCACAAAGTCTGTCTGCTAGTCCAACTGGGGAAGTGAGTTACAGGGTTACAAACATTTCTAGAAAAATGCCTTGCCCAAAATTTCAAAACCAGGGACTTTTAGCCACAGCCCATCCGTTCACCCCCAAATGACAAAAAGGATAAAAACTCTAGGCATATGGAATAGGTAAGGTTCAGTCTCCCCTTTTTTCCCCTAGCAGTCTGATAAAGACCAAAATGAAATGTAATTCATTTCTTCAGACTGCAGCCAATACTTTCTGTCTTCTGATAAATAAAAGTTGCTATTGAAACACTAGGGCCGAACTTTTTTCCTCCAGAGAGTGAATATGTTGCCTTAGGGCTCCATTGCTTTCACAGAAACACAAGCCAAAAAAACCCCTATCATTTCTGAATTCAAGTCTTCTGTATAGTGTCATAAAATACTACTGTGGTCAAGTCTGAGAGTCTGCAATCTGTTATTTATTTGTTGTTCAAAGTGTACTTAGATGCCTAGTCATAATGGACAAAGTGTGCCTAGAAACATCTTCCCTTTATGTTTCAGCAACTTGAAAAAACAGGCAGTGATCAAGCGCAACTCTAATAAATACTGTAAAACTGACTGAAGAGAATTGGCAAAGGAAGGTTCGGGCTGAGTCTCAGGATAAACTTTTACACAGTGACATTATCAGAATGTAGTGTAGCCTCCTAAAGGAAGCAATGGAAAGCTCATCACTTGTGACATTAAACAGTAGATTAGACAAAAGGCCTCAAAATTACAGTGCAAAAAACAATCCTGCAATGGTTGGGAATGACTTAATTGGCCTTTTCTCACTCCAATTATTATAGTTCTGATGCTGCTTTATTTAGTTGGAAATATATTAGCCAGCCACTAATGATGAATGATCATGTCCTTCATCCAAAGAACTATCTTATCCTACCCCTTTATGCCTCTGTTGTATAACTCAGATGGGTCAGATGCTTCTTTTCAAAACTGCAAAGGTTATTCTTTTGCTCCACCCTAAACAAGGAAAATATAACCAATCTGTGCAGTGATAAAGTATCTTACCTTCCATTTATTTTGGCTGCTAAAGCAAAGAATTAAATCCTAAGTAATAAGAATCTCCTTTATCACTAGCTTTCCTATTTGTACCTACAATTGCAGCCTTTTCTGTGTTTTGGCTCATACACTTTTCATCTTCTTATTACTTATTTTGTTGCATTTGATCTGAATGTTGTCAGTAATTTTTATGTTTCTATTCTTCTCTAAGCTTTAATCAGACTCTTACATATACTAAAGCTTGCTATACAGAAAGACCCAGGGCTTTTTGTATTCCTAAAATATTTATTACATGCTGAAACATAGACATAGTTGATCAAGTGACTACCCTACATTTCTTGGTTTTCCCAGTGGTATCATACTCCATCTCATTCTGCTTTGGGTATTGGGCTTCTCGTCAGACTTGGCCTTTCCTTAGCTATTTTCTTTGTCCTTCTTTAAATCTTCAAAAAATATTAAACCAAGCAAATTAAGAATAATTTTCTCTTTTCAGTTCACAAGTTCCACTAGTTACATTAAGAGTTATCAACATTTGTTCAAGGGAGAACAGGCATGACAATTATGATTTCTCAGAGTTTCTCCTATACAATTATGTTTTCTTGTACATTTATCTTCTCTACCATTCCATACCAAATGTAGTATCATTATTAAAAAAAAGGATGCTGTAGCAAAATCTACAAAGTTTCCCTCTGATCTTACTTTTTCTGCCTAATGCATTATAGTTTATGCCTAAATAAACTTACCT